TGAGTGAGCAGGTTAGAGAAGCTACCTGAAGAGAAGCTTCCTAGTGTTGGGGTGTGTGTGTGTGTGTGTGTGTGTGTGTGTGGTGTGTGTGTGTGTGTGTGTGTGTGTGTGTGTGTGTGTAGGTGCACAAATCCATCTCCCTCTGGCCCTCTTCAGCAGTAGCTGGTTTCTGTTTCTCACCACTCTGGGTGGATGTGGGGTGGGTTTTCTTTTTTTCCCCTTACTTTCTTTTTTTAAAATTAATTATAAAAAATTTACTTTTTAAAATCGGAGGATAATTGCCCTACAATGTTGGGTTCCCTTCTTGTTACTTGATTACTCAGTGCTATCTAGAAACCATTTGTTTTTTTAATTCTATTATTTATAAAAAGGGAGCTCCTTTTTCTCTGCTTCGCCCTTCGCTTTGACTCCATGTTAGGCTATGCCATGCACTAATTTGCCAGCTACACTCATCCACCAACCTCCAGGTCTTTTCCTGGAATTCCTTGAAGACTGTTGCTCCTGGCTCTCACCAACACTATTCTGGTCATGGATCTTGGTGATTTCAATAACCTCAGGAATAGTCCATTAAGTGCTCTTGCCCTCATTTCTGTGACTTCTTCTGCAGCAGTTTTGTTCTTCTACCTCAGCACTCTCTCCCTTAGTCATACCATAGATTTGGACAGTACCAATATCTGCAGTTTCAAGCATCTCGAGATCACCACCTATTTTAAAAAATAGGTATTTATTTATTTATTTGGCTGCATCAGGTCTTTGTCGTGGCATGTGAGATCTTTAGTTGAGACCCATGAACTCTTCGCTGTTGCATGTGGGACCTAGTTCCCTGACTAGGGATGGAACCTGGGCCCCCTACATTGGGAGCTGGGAATCTTAGCCATTGGACCACCAGGGAAGTCCCTCAACCAGCTCTTATTTTTTCAGTGCATCTCGCTCTAACAAACCTTAGCCCCACCACTGGACCCTACAAGGTCTTGATCCTGCCAACTTTACCAGGCCCCTTACCTACTTAGTAACTTCCGTGGTGGCTCATATGGTAAAGAATCTGCCTGCAATGCAAGAGACCTGAGTTCGATCCCTGGATTGGGAAATTCCCCTGGAGAAGGGAATGACAATCCACTCCAGTATTCTTGCCTGGAGAATTCCATGGTCAGAGGAGCCTGACGGCTACAGCCAATGGAATCGCAAAGAGTCGGACATGACTAAGCGACTGAGCACACAAAACAAATATGGGAAAGGGTGACAAGTAGGTAAGATGATTTTTAATCACTCTGTCATGTCCGACTCTTTGCTATCCCACAGACTGTAGCCTTCTAGGCTCCTCTGTCCATTGGGATTCTCAGGCAAGAATACTGGAGCGGGTTGCCCTGCCCTCCTTCAGAGAATCTGCCCTACCCAGGGATCGAACCCACGTCTCCTGCATTGCAAGCAGTTTCTTTACCATCTGAGCCACTAGGGAAGTTTCAATACCACGGCCAGTCATTTAATTACTCCCTTGCACTCATCTTTAACTCTCTTGCGCCTTTCTTGTTTATAAGTAATAGTTTGGTAAAAACTCAACCCTGGTTTAAATTAAAACCCCCACCTATGATTATGCCTGTAACCACGCAACTGAAGGAAAACCCTCAAACATGCTGACTAGTCTCACTTTAAATTCATAATCAGGAACCTCACATGGGTCCTTAAGGCTGTCTGGCAACTGTACATGTTTCTAGTTCATACTTCTACTCTTCTGGACAACTACTGTACACCTTTTTCAAATGTCCAGCATCTCTTTTTTTCTATTTTATTCATTGATGAATTTGCTTTCTATTTGTAATAGTTATGTCTTTCTGTGTAACCAGTTACGTCAGAATCTAGCATGTTTAACCAACAAATATTATCTCACAAATTTCTGCCTGGATAGTCTGGCTCAGGGTCTCTTATGAGATTGCAGTCAAGTTGTTGGCCAAGACTACGGTCTCTGAAGACTTGACTGGGGCTGGAGGATCCACTTCCAAGATCATTCACCAGGCTGTTGGCAAGAGCCTTCAGTTCACTGCCACGTGGTCCTTCCTATATGACTTCCCATGACATAAATGGCTTCCCCCAGAGTAAGTGTTGGGAACGAGTGAGAATCACAGCAAGAGTGAGAGATGGAGAGAATGAGAGTATATGGTGGAGAGAGAGAAACACAGCATTTTTTTATAACCTAATTTCTAGTGACATGTCATATACTACTGGTCACAAAGAACAATTCTACACGATGTGTACAGTGTGAAAGGGGACGACACAGGGTGTGAATACCAGGAGGTGGGGATCATTAGAGTCGCCCTGTAGGCTAACAAAAATACTATTTTACGGAGAAAACAGAGCAATCAGAAAGGAACTTCCACAAGCTCCTACTGCCATATTAGCCAATTACCAGCATATATGCTACTTCACTGCTACTGTCATAATGAACTCTCTCTCCTGCTATCTAAGGCCAATTCCTCCAACTGTTCACTAAATCCCAATCCCTCTTGTTCATTACATTCTGTTCCCTCTTACCCACTTAAGGACACAGATACAAAAATTCCTCCATCTCTCTCCTGCATTGTCAGTTTTCTTTTGTTTACTGGATAGTTAGCATCAACAGAACACATGGACTGCAATATTAAAGAAAAGAATCCTATGATCTATCTCTTTCAGATACACATTTTCTCTGTGTCACTTTACAATTCAACTCATTGTAAGAGTTGTCTAAAATGGCTGTCTCCAATTCTTCCTCCCTCTCTAGTCCTACCCAGCAGCCTTTTGATCTCAAACTATCCCCAAAACACTGTTTTTATAAAAGTTATCTATGATCTCCATATTGTTCAATCCAACAGTTAATTTCAGTCATCATCTTATTTGACCTATCAGAATTTAACACAGGTTAAATTCCTCTTCAATAAAACATTTTCTTCAAGGTATTACACACTCCTGGTTTTCTTCCTAGGCTTACTGGCTGATCCTTCCAATCTCTTTGCATTCCCCTCTTCTTCCCAGTCTGTTTAATGTGAGGAAGCCCAGGTCTCAGGTTCTCAGCCAGGCAGGCACCCACTCTGGAGTGATTATACTTGCAGTTCACTTTGCCTGAACTTTTAGAAAGGTCTCCAGTGAAAATTAGAGTGTTTCATTATTCCATGGAAATTTGCATTGGAGTCTTTGCTCAAAATTACCTCAGTGAAGCCTTCTCTGGTCATCCTATCTAAAATTTCATCTCCCCTACCCTCCGACACACTTTTTATCCTCATCCTCAGGTTTTAATCTACAATGCTCATCACCCAGACACATTTGTTTACTTATTCATGAGTCTATTTTGTTATTTCTCATTGTCACTCCCATGAACAAGGGATATTTATGTTCTGTTCACTGCTATACATTTCCAGTGCCTAAAACAGTACTGGTATATAAAAATCTCTCAATTGTAAATTACACGAACGAACGAATGGGTATCTCACAGGGATAATGAAGCGTCCCTGGATTATACTAAAGCTTGGAGCAGACAGGGAGACCATATTTATGTATAAGAACATGTATGAAATAGCACTCCTAATGTAGGGAGGTGTACAAAGGATCAGCATGATTTACAACTGGCTTGAAAAGTGTTAGTTGCTGAGTCCTGTCCAACTCTTTGGGACCCCATGGACTGTAGGCCGCCAGGCCCCTCTGTCCATGGGATTTTCCAGGCAAGAATACTGGAGTGGGTGCCATTTCCTTCTCCAGGGGATCTTCCCGACCCAGGGATTCTTCCCGAGTACAGGCAGATTCTTTATGGTCTCAGCTGCTGGCTTAGTTCGTTCCTGAAGGAAGCCCTGCCAGGCCCGCCTTCGCCCATCCTTTTCCTGTGCTTCCTTCAATTAGGCCCCTGACCCGCCCAGTTATGGGCTTCTCTAATGGCTCAGTGATAAACAAGTCGCCTGCTAAGGAGGACACCCGGTCCGATCCCCGCTGTCGGGAAGATCCCCTGGAGAAGGAAATGTCAACCCACTCCAGTACTCTTGCCTAGGAAATCCCACGGACTGATGAGCCTAGCGGGCTACAGTCCATGGGATCGCAAAAGAGTCAGACACGACTTATCAACAACCCGCTCAGTAAACCTGCTTTTCAGCCCAACGTATTCCTTTGCCTGAAGATGCCGGACATCCCCGGCGCTGGATATTCGAGGCACCGCCGGCAGACCCACATTTCTGCTGGCCGGTTTCCCAGCCGCCGGGGTGAACTCACCCTGGCCGCACCCATTCCACTAGCATTCACAAGCCCCACCCACTCAGCGAGACGAAGCGGAGGTGACGCACATCTGGAGCGCTAACTCCGCCCCTCACGCTTTCCCAGTCCCCGGGAGATGACGTAAGCCCGGTAGAGGCGGATATGAGGGCGCCGAAGGGCGGGGTGGGGCAGCGCGACGCGAGTTTCTCCAAAGCAGCGGTTTACTGGCGGTAGTTACCTTAGTATCCACGTTAGCTTGAGTTGTGGCTAGCTGCGATCGATACTACTAGGCCGGTGCAGTCTCAGCCAGAGTGTGACCTGAGGCCTGAGAAACAGGCTTTTCTCTGGTCCGGGACTCCCCGGCGTTCAGCGCTGCCCCCATAACCGGATACCAATTATTTGAACTTTCGGCTTCAGACCCAGGTTCCCACCCCGCACCCTCCCAGTCCCATCGCCCTCCCGCTGCTACGCTCTTTCCTCCCTTTCCCTTGTCGCTGTGCCTCAATGGCACAGTTTCCTTAATCAGATTATTATTTTTTCCCCGCGCTCCTCCGTGTTGCTTTTCTAGGGCGATCCTGAAACATTTCCTTCCTTTATAACACTTTATTTGTATCGTCCCTCTTCCTTTCTTTTCCCCCTTCCTTCCTTCGCCGGAATCTTTGTCAGGCTACTGCCTCCTGCAAGGCTTCACTCCTTTTCAGGAGTCTGACACAGGTGTTAGGGAATTGAGTTTTTTAAGGCGGTCGTTTGAAGATATTGAGCTTTTCCTCTCTCCTAACCAGGAGTCATAGATGCCAAGAAGTATGGCCCCCCTCAAGAAGCCTCGAAATACCACAAAGTTGCCCCTGGCTTTAAACCCCTTGAAGAGCAAGGACGTGTTGGCAGTGCTGGCTGAGAGGAACCAGGCTATAGTACCCGTTGGGGCCTGGGTGGAGCCTGCTCCGCCAGATAGTTCAGAAGTCCCGGCAGCTGTGAGTGTCAGTTTGATGCCAATGTGGTGGGGTTTCTTCTCCCATCTTTCTTTTTATTAGCCTTCCCTAATTCCTTGTGCTCGCATAAGCAGTCTGAGGATGCTGTTTGTATTCTGTCATAAATAGTCACGTTTTTGCTTTAGGGTTATTGAACAAACACGTAGTTGTTAATTAAGTTATCATACAAAGATGTTTAATTGTTTCTAAAATGTGGTACACTCTTATCTTTGGTTTACACTTGAGAGCCACAATTTGGAACCAGTCATGCACTTAAGGAAAATGTTTGGTAATTTCAAGGTGAGGGCAAAAGAGGGCAGACAGACAGTGGGAGTTAAGAAAATAGGCGCGGGTGGCTTCAGTTTGTCTGGTCTTGAGTTAACTTGAGTCACTTGTCCAGACTTGATATATATATATCTCTCCTTTGGAAGTGTGTTGCCTAATTATTCATTGATACTTGTACATTCTACTCTCTGGTACATATGTTCTAGAATAGTTTATGGGACAGATTTCTTGGAACTCATAATTTTAATTGGAATTTAAATTCACTTGATTTTGAGAATTTAAAGACTGTGAAATAATTTGAGGCACCCCTCAGAATTTGGTATCACTGTGTTAGAAGAAGGGATAGACAGGAGGTATGATGGGTTTATTTAATTTGGCGATTCCTTATGGAAGAGAGACTTAATTCAGAGAAAAGCAATACAGTATAGGGCATAAGTGTTGGAGTCAGAGAATGTTCTAGCGTTGCTACTTGCCAGCTGTAGGATCTTTGGCTGCTACTAAAGATGAATGTTTCTGAGCCCGTTTCCTCATCTTTCATGTAAGAGATAAGAATACCTAGTATTAGAACTAGTTTTGAGGATTCAGTGGTAGAAGTTAAAGTGCTTATGCTAATAGATCTTTAATCATGGTGACTACTACTATTTTCATTCTTTGCCATTCAGAGCACTTAGAGGAAGTGAACAATGATCAAGGACTCAAATGTAATAAAACGTTCCAGATTGTTTTGGAATTAAGCTTTATATAAATCTTGAGTACTTTTGTATTCTAGGCTCCATTATAGTAGGGGAAGCAAAGGAGAATGAAATACATTTCCTGCCCTCAAAGGATTCATAATCTAATAGGGAGTTAAGAATTATTGTACTCAATGTTAGTAAGAATGAGAGGTGGTGGGTGGTGGTGGTGTAATCGCTAAGTTGTGTCCGACTCTTGGGACCCCATGGACTGTCCAGGCTCCTCTCTTCATGGGGTTTTCCAGGCAAGAATACTGGAGTGGGTTGCCATTTCCTTCTCCAAGAATGAGAGGTAACAGGAGGGTATTGGATGTTCTTGGAGACTCAGTAAGCCTTTTCTAGGTGGAGATGACAGAAAGGGCATGCTCGGTTAAAAATGCAGCAGAATTCTCATTTTATAATAGCACATGGTGGGTGAGTGGTGAGCCATCTGATATGTTAATGTTAGTTTCTCAGTCATGCCAGACTCTTTGCAACCCCATGGACTATTAGCCCACCAGGCTCATCTGTCCATGGAATTCTCCAGGCAAGAATGTTGGAGTGGGTAGCCACTCCCTTCTTCAGGGAATCTTCCTGATCCAGGGATCAAACCCAGGTCTCCTGCCTTGCAGGCAGATTCTTTACCATCTGAGCCACCAGGGAAGTCGAGCATTCTGGTATATGTGGACTGTTTTACTCACTTTAGAAACTGAAAGAAGATAGGTTTGAATTGGTTCATTAAGAATTAATGAAGATACTTTTAGTTCTCAGTACATGAAAAATTAAGATTTGATTTTTGTGCTCACAGGTTCTAAGTTTTAGTTTGTGATTTGATTTAAGTTCTTGGTACTCACTTGAGTTTCCCTGGTGGGTCAGATGGTAAAGAATCTGCCGGCAATGCAGGAGACCTGGGTTCAATCCCTGGGTTGGGAAGATCCCCTGGAGGAGGTCATGGCAACCTACTCCAGTGCTCTTGCCTGGAGAATCCCCATGGACAAAGGACCCTGGTGGGCTATAGTCAATGGGGTCGCAAAGAGTCGGACATGACATAACGACTAAGCACAGCACAGCTATGTCTAGATTATCAGCTCTGAACTACTGTGACCTTCTTCACTGTACAGGGAATTTTGGATTATAGAACTGAATTATTTTTTCGGGATTGTATCCTGACCACTTTGTGTTTACAGTAGGCAAAACTAGTGGGACATTAAATTTATTTTCTATCTTTCATCTTTAAAGACTGCAGCATATATAATTGAAGAAGAACTGAAGGAGCAGCTAAGAAAGAAACAAGAAGCTCTGAAGCGTTTTCAGAGACAAGTCAAAAGCAGAGTAAATCAGCAAATCAGGCTTAGAAAAAAGCAACAACTTCAGAGGTCTTATGAAGCTGTAAGTTCAAAAGTGAGCCTGAGTAAAGATTGGATGGAACATGTGTTTGTTTTGGGAAATGTAATTAGGAAATAACAGAATCACCTTTCTTGATCCCAGGCTTTGTTTCATTAACTAGTGAGGGCAGTAGATTTGTAGGCAGAGAAACTTGTTTCTGTTTTCCTGTGTTGTTCTGACGACCTCTTGCTTTCACCAAATAGTTATAAATAATGTCAGAGTTTGGGTTGGGGTTTGGCTTTGCTCCCTATTCGCTATGTGACCTTGGGCGAAGTGCTTAAATTCTCTCAGCTATGGTTTCTTTATCTGTGAAGTGGGGACTTAGTACTTGTCTCACAGTGTTGTTTTGAGAATTAGATAGTATAGATGATTAGCACCTAGTAGGTGCCTGGTAAATATTAGTTTCTTTGTCAACTAAAATTTCCCATCCCTCTCCCCAACCCCGGTTTTAAGACTTTTGGGCTGCTTGTAGATATCAGTTGGTTATACTGGGCTGGGGGGAGTCAGTCTCATTAGAGGAATCTCACTCGTTTTTCCTTGGTGTAGGCAGAGAAAGAAGGCTCTATAGCCATGCACTCTTCAGATCCAGCACACTTAACTCCTAAAAGAACGAGCGTTTTTCCAAGCAATTTGAATGCTGCTATTGGAAGTGCCAGATTGCCTCCTCCCCAGATGCTTGAGGGTGGAATAGAAGATAGAGAGAATCAGAATGAACTGTTCCAACAACAAGCCCAGGCTGTAAGTACATATTCATTTAATTTATGTCTCTGGTTTTCTTCTTTTTTTTAGATATATGACATACCTGGCCTATGATGTAGAGATTAGGAGGTGTCACATCAACTTCAACTTTTATCACCTCCCCCCCTTTTTTACCTTTGTAAAGTGAAGATTAATGAGATGATGTTTATTTTTAATATATATTTTAAATTTATATTTAAAATTATTTGAGAGTCCCTTAGACAGCAAGGGGATCAAATCAGACAATCCTAAGGGAAATCAACCCTGAATCAGTGGAAGGACTGATGCTGAAGCTGAAGCTCCACTACTTTGGCCACTTGATGTGAAGAGCCAACTCATTGGAAAAGACCCTGATGGCTGGGAAAGGTTGACGGCAGGAAGAGAAGGGGGAGATAGAGGATGAGATGGTTGGATAGCATCACTGAGTCAATGGACATGAGTCTGAGCAAATTCCAGGAGATTGTGAAGGACAGGGAAGCCTGCGTGCTGTAGTCCATGGGGTTGCAAAGAGTTGGACATGACTTAGTGACTGAACAACAGCAACAAAAATTTTTATTTATTGATTGGACACTTATGATACCAAAGTATTAGAGTTCAAAACTTATGAGAAAGAACTTTAAGTCAAAGAATGTAGATTTTCCAATTATACTTAAGTTGTTATGGGTAAGTGACTCTCAGTTCGTAGCATACGGACAAAAATGACTCCTAACCTCTATTGCACAAAGGTTCAGTACATATATGGGACTTTCAATGATTGTTTTTGTTTCTTTTTTCTGTCCCTCAATCTGATTACCACAATAAATTGATCTGCAAGTCAAGTAATAATAAGTAAACTCTAAATTGACATACTCACAAGTTTTTAGTATAACTTTTCAGTGACTCACTTTGTATACCTAATATTTAAAAATTAACCACCATGAACAGCTCCATCCACTCAAGTCACTTGACGCCATCTAATCAGCACCCCCACCCTACTTAGTGTACCTTGGCTTTTGTTCAGTTGATCACGTTCTTCAACTTGGTTGTGGGAATAATCCTTCATCTTATAATTTTATTTTATTTTATTTAGTTCTACCAGTTTATTGCTACCAACCCATGTCCCTCCACCCTCCTCATGCATGTGTGCTCAGTCATGTAACCCCATAGACCTCAGCCCGCCAGACTCCTCTGTCCATGGACTTTCCGAGGCAAGAATACTGGAGTGGGTTGCCATTTCCTTCTCCTATCTTATCCTTTTAAAATGTAATCCAAAGGGTTAGTAAGAGGAGGGAAAAAAATGTGGAAAATTATGATTATGTGAAAATAAAAGTTGTGTGATGCTAACATGCTTGGTCATAAATGTGGAGCAAATCTTTTTGTGCTGTTAGGATAAATAGAGAAAGCTTTATTATAAGTACATGTTGTGTTGAGATACTTTTTAAAAAGATTTTTTTCTCTTTCCCAGACTATGACTTTTCTTGTTATTGTTTGGCTTGTAGTGGTCATTTTTTATTTTCTTTTAAATATTATGAACAATTTACCGAGCCAGTATTTATTGAGCCAGGCACTGCATAAAGTACAAAGGATAAAACATTGACCGAGACAGACACAGCCCTTGCTTTCATGGTGCTTGTAGCTATAAATCCCATTGTATTGAGGATTGTACTTCATCTGTATAATACTTAAATAGGACACATCAGTCCACAGATATTTGAATATACAGCGTTTGTTAAGCATTGTAGGGTTACTAATGATATGTGAAATAGGACCTTTCATGGGTTTACATTTCCAAGTAGAGATACAAAGCTAACAGACTCCTAATCTGTTGGTTAAAATATGGAAATATTTGCTGCATTTGGTGATAAATTTGTGCAGTGGAAGTTCAAAAATGTTTTAATTGTAAAGAAATAGTTGGGGAAGAATTCTTGGAGGAGGTGGAATTGAGCTGTATATTTTCAACTGGTAAACTGAGTTGAATTGGTAAATTCAAAAGAATTTTAAGATAGGAACAGTAAAAAGTCTAGAATATAAAAGTTTTTATACCCGGTTTTGTTTTTTTTTTCTTTTTGGGCTGGGCCTTGGGGCTTGTGGGCTCTTCTTGTTCCCTGACCAGGGATCAAATCCATGCTGCTTGCTGTAGAAGCTAGGAGTCCTAACCATTAGACCGCCAGGGAAGTCCCGACCCTGTTTTTTTCTTAAAAGAAGATGAGCTACTGAGGAGTATTCAGTGACTTAAACTACTCTAAGCCTATAAACTTGCTTATGCAATCCATGGCAATAGTAGCTCACCTTTTTTTTCATCTTACTGTTTCTGTTGCACTTTGTGTCCACTAGATGTCACTAAGAACTAGACAGTGAGACAGTGTCCAAAGCAGTAACTCCTTTGGGACAGTTCCAGTCAAACTGGGACAGTTGGTCAGCCTGTCACTACATGTGCTCTCTCTTCTTTACTTACTTTTCTTCTACTGACTGGTGTTCTCATCATCACAGCTCCACAGCTTTGGCATACTTAAAACTCCTTTAGCCTCTTTGTATGCCTGTTCATTTTACATAATTTGTTAAATGAACATTTAACAAATGGGGGATTTGTAAGCCCACAAACTTAGTGGCTTAGAATGACAAAAACTTTTTCTCTCACAGTTGTGGAGACCAGAAGTCCAAAATCAGTTTCACTGAGCCAAAATCAAGGTGTCTGCAGGGATATGCTCCTTCCACAGATTCTAGGGAAAATTTGTTCTTTGACTCTTCAAGCTTTTGGTGTCTGCTGGCATTCCTTTGCTTGTGGCCACATCAAACCAATCTCTGGCTCCATCTTCACATCACCTTTTCTGTACGTCTGGTTTTCCTCATATCTAATATGTTTTATAAAAACCACTTGTGATGGCTTTTAGTGCTGGTCTAGATAATCCAAGATCATCTCAAGATCCTCAACTTAATCACATGTGCAAAGGCCCTTTCTCTTTATAAAGTAACAATTGCAAGTCTAAGGAAATAAGACCTGATACCTTTGTGTGCGTGCTAAGTCGCTTCAGTTGTGTCCAACTGTTTGGGACACCATGGACTATAGCCTGCCGGGCTCCTCCATCTGTAGGATTCTCCAGACAAAAATACTGGGTGGGTTGCCACACTGTTCTCCAGGGTGTCTTCCTGATCCAGGAATCAAACCCACATCTCTTGTACATCCTGCATTAGCAGATGGGTTCTTTACAATTGACGCCACTTGGGAAGCCTCTTGATATCTTTGGGTGACTGTTATTCAGCATACTACATCCTCATAGCAGGTCATTGAAAGGGCTTTTAGGTTGATTTAATGACAGAGAAACTGAATGTTAGGTATAGTCCAATTGCTGGACCAGTTGAAATATCCTGCTTAAAGGACTAAAATCAATCTGCTATTCTAATAAGAGGTTGGACTTGATGGAAAATGAAGAATACGTAAGTAACTCTTATTTTAAATCTGTCACAACAAGTATTTTGCATCCTTGGTCCCATTATACAGGGCAGTTATGTCTTCCATACCTGACAATGAGTTAAAGCAGGCATGTTCGTGGCTCTGTATTTTTTCGTAACTTCAACTGCAAATATACTGTGTCTTTTTGCATTGTGATTAACTCTATTTTGACCCCTTTAGCTACTCTACTAACTAAATTTAGCTACTCTAACTAAATTAAAAGTCCTCCTTTTAATAGAGTAAATTATAATGTTTCAAGCTGGTTTTTCTGGCTAGAGGTATAGCCCTTCTTAGAAGCAAAGTCAAAACAGAGATAATATGCTGTAAGGAAACTGGACTGGTAACAAGAGAATTTTCATCTCTAGTCACTATTAGTAAATATAAAAAAAATTTGTTATTTATATCTGTAAACCATAATCATTATTTCCCTTTAAGGGAGAAATGATGTCATTAAACTTTCACTGGATGGGTTGAAATTGGTCCTGGCTTTGCCATAATTTCACTGACTAGTATAGGGATATGTTTTCCTGGATTTTCCTTAAAGGAACATTCTGTGCAGATATGGGAAGTGTAAAATAGGCAGTGCTTCCCTGAAAAAGAAATCAAAGTAGGTGCTTACTGAAATTGCTATGTAGAAATAAGGAATAAACACAAAATTAACATTTAATATTAATATTTATTACTAATTGTTGTCTAGAGTACTTGAAACAAATTGATTCTGTTGAGATGTTTGAATTTGTATTCTAAATTAATGTAGGAAGGCTTCCTGGAAGAAGTGACATTTGAGAAAAGACAAGTAAGTACAGTCTTCAAATGTTACAGGTGAAGAAGTAACCCATGTAAATAAGAAAAAACAATTTTAGGGGACTAGGAGTGATAAAAGTGATCAGGCATGCAGTTGAAGAAATAACTCTTTATTAAGAAGATAGGTAGAAGGTAAAGAATATATCTGCTGAATCATTTCCAAATTCAGATCTTTAGGTTCTAATATTTTTGTGTACTTACTTAATATAAAGCATACATTATTAAAAAAATGATTTGAGTAACAGCACTTAAATCAAGTTATGAAATGCAGTCTCTTAGAATAATAAAAACAGTGTTGTAAAAGCTTATCAGCACATCAGAAAGTCTTTGCAGGTAATCCTCTGGTCTCAGGTCTGGCATTTTTTAATAATAGGGGCCTGTTTTCCTGTTGGAACACTTAGTGAATTTGATATTAAGACTTTAGCCTGTTTTTGTTTTCTTTTTTTCCCTTTTCCTTGGCAGCTTAGTCAAAGCATGAAACAAGCACGTCATCGGCTGGCATCATTTAAAACTGTGAATCAGAAAGATGCACCAGAGTTTCCAGATGATATAAAGAAAAGCTTTCCCACCCAGGAGGTAATTTAAGTTCTAAAAATACAGGTAAAAAATAGGATAAAGATTAATTTATATCTCAGCATTGTTTAGAACTAAAAAATAATTGGAAATGACTTTAATTTTCCAATAGTAGGGAGTAGTCTACAAACATGATATATCCATATATAGCTGTTATCAAAAATATCATGCTTTCAAAGGATATTTGAAGCCTAGGGAAAGTGTTTGTGATATAAAGGTAAGTGGAAAAAGTAGGATATAAAATTAGATACAGTATAAGCTCCATTTAAAACATTCATTCAATAAATATTTATGGACTACCTGTAGTTGCCAGGCATTGTTCTAGAAGCAGAACTTAACACTGGTGAAAAGATGTCTCAGGAGCTCCTGCGCTAGTAGGGAAGCATATTCTTAAACAAGCACATAAATGCAGAATATTATTTCCAATGATAAGTGTAAAGCAAAATATCGAGATGGGGAGAGAATGCTATATGCATAGACAAAGGCCTGAAAAGAAATGGACCAAGAGGTTCATGCTGATTATTTCTGGTAGTGTTATTACAAGTGATTTTATTTTCTTTTTTTTTTAAATCGTAGAAATTTTCCATAATGTATATATTTTAAATTTTAATCAGGAAGGAAGAGGTCAATGGCATTTTTTAAAAAGAAAGAAATTCTCTTAGTTTTTTGGATTTTTTTTTTTTTTTTTCACCATACCAAACGGCATGAAGAACTTCCCTGACCAGGAATTGAACCTGTGCCTTCTGCAGTAGAAGCATGGAATCTTAACCACTAGACCACCAGGGAAGTCCAGAAAGAAATTCTTTTGTTTCAAAATATAGAATAACTTTCTGGACGTCCCTGGTGTATATTTTTCCTGGTATATATTTTACCACAGTGAAAATAAAGACTGTGATTGCAGTGAGAAAACTGTAGAATAAAGTTAGATCGAATTGGAACCTAAATATTAAGTTAGATTTAAAAGAATATTTAAAGCTATGCTTATTAAATTGTTTTGGTGTCTCCCTATTTCCATGTTCACAAATTTGGATCCTAAACCCATATATTTCCCTGTGTTTACTTAATTTTGGCAATAGTTTCAAGTTTTGATAGGTAGCATCGATAAAATGGATCATTAATCAGTCTTTTTTTACTTTTTTTGGTACCTTTATCAGCTGTCTCTTGTTTAGTTCTCTCTCAGTTTTTCTACCTAATTGGTATTTTTTTTGTTTACATTTTCCTAGATTACATGTATGTTTGTATTTATTTTTGTATTTTTACCTTAAGTATCTCAGTGCAACCAGCAACCATCAAAGACACACCTCTATGTTTGTAGTCAGTAGAATACTTCCTCTATAGTGATAATTAAGAAACATATATTTAAATATGGACTTCCCTGTAGCTCAGATGGTAAAGAATCTGCCTGCAGTGCAAGAGACCCAGGTTTGATCCCTGGGTAGGAAGATCCCCTCAAGATGAAAGTGACAACCCACTCCAGTATTCTTGCCTGGAGAATCCCATGGACAGAGGAGCCTGGTGGGCCACAGTCCATGTGTCACAAACAGTTGGACATGGCTAAGTGACTGACACACATAATTAAATATATAAAGCAAGTAGGCATGGGTGTGCCTAATATTGCATTCCATCTTAGATGCATTAAGTGTGGTTACCTCTAGGATTGCATTGTTGTGACTCAAGACAGAGTTTCTTTTGTAACTAAATTCTTGAATTGGTTTCTTGACAATTTTCATACCTCTTCCACAGATTTGGCAGTACTGAAGTTTTGGTCCATAAGACTGACTTCCCGGTACTGCTAAAAGGAGATGGTTGGACCCAGTTTATTTAAACCAGAAAAAGAAGGATGACCAGATCCTGGAGACTGATAACTTTATATTGTGCCGAACATATTCAAACCTTTCAATTGGTGTTTTTCCAGGAAGAGTACTGTTCCTAGGTCTGACTGAAATAATTATCCAGTAGAAGGGAGGAGGTTAAGTCTGACATAAAATCCTTGTATAAACCAATTTTATACGTCAAAGGTGCCATTTAAGTGTAGTTCATTATGATAATTATGATGACTCTGGGTAGCTGCTTGCTTTCAAAGAATGCATGTGCTATTTCAGGTAAAGTACCACAAACAAATCTATGCCATATAATTGACAGTGAAATTTTTCTATCGAGTATGTGGTCTTTGTTTTAAATCTGAACAGTTTTCTACCCACTCAATTATGAGCAGGAGGAATCTGCCAGTCAGAAAGGAGAACCACCTATAACCCAGTTGAGCTCTGGTTTCATTTGCTTGTTAGATTTATTTTTACTGACATTAGAATCTGTCTGGTTGTTACTGTTATACTAGATTTAGAGGTACACATGGAAGATAGGTTTGTTTGCCCACTGTTAGATCACCAAGACAAAATTATAAGCCTTCTGAAGTTGTTACTAGCTAGGATAGGGGCAAATTGTAAAGTAAGTTAAAATATTCTTCTACCATCTTATTTCACTCCTAACGTTTGTTATGTAAATATTTTGTTTGTATACTTGAACTCTCTATTCTGTATTAGATTACTGTTACCTGCTAAGATTGTATCAGATATTTCACAAAAACTCAACTTAGTGTTATGAGCATATTGCTCATAACAGTTTGTATTTGTATTAATTTTTCTTTTTTGCAGAAAGAACTTTGTAGGAAGCCATCATTTACCAGGATAAATATAGGCGTAAGAGGAGAACTGCCCTTGGAGGTCCATCAAGGTCTTTTAACTCCTGCAGATTACCAGAAATTTATGGATGATCAGGTAGGTAAATATAAAGAGTAGAGGGGTAAAAAGACACCCTGTTAGAACTAGCCATACATAATTAAGGATGGACTTAAGTATTGGGATTATAATATCCAATAATTTTTTTTCTAACGGTTTTATTGAGCTGCAATTCATATACCACACAATTCACCCACTTTTTATTTTATTTTTTTTAATTTTTATTTATTTATTTATTTATTTATTTATTTATTTATTATTATTTTTTTTATCACAACCATAGTGTATCTTTTTTTTTTTTTTTTTTACATGTATTCCCCATCCCGGTCCCCCCTCCCACCTCCCTCTCCACCCGATCCCTCTGGGTCTTCCCAGTGCACCAGGCCCGAGCACTTGTCTCATGCACCCAACCTGGGCTGGTGATCTGTTTCACCCTAGATAATATACGTGTTTCGATGCTGTTCTCTTGAAACATCCCACCCTCGCCTTCTCCCAGAGTCCACAAGTCTGTTCTATACATCGGAGTCTCTTTTTCTGTTTTGCACATAGGGTTATCGTTACCATCTTTCTAAATTCCGTATATATGTGTTAGTATACTGTAATGGTCTTTATCTTTCTGGCTTACTTCGCTCTGTATAATGGGCTCCAGTTTCATCCATCTCATTAGAACTGATTCAAATGAATTCTTTTTAATGGCTGAGTAATATTCCATGGTGTATATGTACCACAGCTTCCTCATCCATTTGTCTGCTGATGGGCATCTAGGTTGCTTCCATGTCCTGGCTATTATAAACAGTGCTGCGATGAACATTGGGGTACACGTGTCTCTTTCAGATCTGGTTTCCTCGGTGTGTATGCCCAGAAGTGGGATTGCTGGGTCATATGGCAGTTCTATTTCCAGCTTTTTAAGAAATCTCCACACTGTTTTCCATAGTGGCTGTACTAATTTGCATTCCCACCAACAGTGTAAGAGGGTTCCCTTTTCTCCACACCCTCTCCAGCATTTATTGCTTGTAGACTTTTGGATAGCAGCCATCCTGACTGGTGTGTAATGGTACCTCATTGTGGTTTTGATTTGCATTTCTCTGATGATGAGTGATGTTGAGCATCTTTTCATGTGTTTGTTAGCCATCTGTATGTCTTCCTTGGAGAAATGTCTGTTCAGTTCTTTGGCCCATTTTTTGATTGGGTCATTTATTTTTCTGGAGTTGAGCTGGAGGAGTTGCTTGTATATTTTTGAGATTAATCCTTTGTCTGTTGCTTCGTTTGCTATTATTTTCTCCCAATCTGAGGGCTGTCTTTTCACCTTGCTTATAGTTTCCTTTGTTGTGCAAAAGCTTTTAAGTTTCATTAGGTCCCATTTGTTTATTTTTGCTTTTATTTCTAAAATTCTGGGATGTGGGTCATAGAGGATCCTGCTGTGATTTATGTCGGAGAGTGTTTTGCCTATGTTCTCCTCTAGGAGTTTTATAGTTTCTGGTCTTATATTTAGATCTTTAATCCATCCTGAGTTTTTTTTTGTGTATGGTGTTAGAAAGTGTTCTAGTTTCATTCTTTTACAGGTGGTTGACCAGTTTTCCCAGCACCACTTGTTAAAGAGGTTGTCTTTTTTCCATTGTATATCCTTGCCTCCTTTGTCAAAGATAAGGTGACCATAGGTTCGTGGATTTATCTCTGGGCTTTCTATTCTGTTCCATTGATCTATATTTCTGTCTTTGTGCCAGTACCATACTGTCTTGATGACTGTGGCTTTGTAGTATAGTCTGAAGTCAGGCAGATTGATTCCTCCAGTTCCATTCTTCTTTCTCAGGATTACTTTGGCTATTCGAGGTTTTTTGTATTTCCATACAAATTGTGAAATTATTCGTTCTAGTTCTGTGAAAAATACCGTTGGTAGTTTGATAGGGATTGCATTGAATCTGTAGATTGCTTTGGGTAGTATAGACATTTTGACAATATTGATTCTTCCAATCCATGAACACGGTATATTTTTCCATCTGTTTGTGTCCTCTTTGATTTCTTTCATCAGTGTTTTATAGTTTTCTATGTATAGGTCTTTTGTTTCTTTAGGTAGATATACTCCTAAGTATTTTATTCTTTTTGTTGCAATGGTGAATGGTATTGTTTCCTTAATTTCTCTTTCTGTTTTCTCATTGTTAGTGTATAGGAGTGCAAGAGATTTCTGTGTGTTAATTTTATATCCTGCAACTTTACTGTATTCATTGATTATCTCTAGTAATTTTCTGGTAGAGTCTTTAGGATTTTCTA